AGAAAGGAAAAGAAAAAAAAAAGAAAAAAATGCACATTGCGAAGGGTCTCCCGCCTACATGACCCCGTGTGCACATGTAGTGATACACCGCTTTGCAGTGCGTACCGCCATTTAGTGCTGCATCTGGGCACTCCTCACCAAAGCTAACAAACCCTTTGTTAAAGACATACCTTCCTACTTTCGGACTTTCCCCCGCGAGAATTCCCAAGCGCTGCGTTCGTTCGCTTGCTGTTTTGATTCGCCCCCCCCAAATAAGTGTCACATAGTGGGAAAAAAAAAAAAATACTTTTGCACGCCTCTCGGGGAGACAAACCCGTAGGCAGAGGTCGCTTCTACTGTGCACGTCTTTGCGAATTGAATTCATAGTTACGCACGCGCCGGCTCATCATTTGCTCTCCCCCTCCGCTTCTCCATTCAGTGGGGTTATTGGCTTTCTTCGAGCAGCGTGTGCGCGTGACATGCAGAGTTAGTTATGTAGGCGGCTATCCACCCATCAGGTGAGGAAGCACACACACATATATATTTATATATACATAAGGATACACGCATATGCGTTTTTTCCAACGCGGGCTCTCCCCCTCGTCGCTCCCAACCATTTCAGGCAAACTTCGAACAGCGTGACAGACCCGAGCAGCGATGTGGGCACTGTAACCGCGTCACGTGTGTTTGCCCTCTGGGTAGCCAAAAATTTTAGCTAGCTAAGGATTATTTTTTTTTTTTCCCAATTTTCCCAAAATTTCCCTTGCCTGTTCAGGCGAAAACGCGTTTGTCATTTGTTACAATTTGAAAGGGAACAGTGTTTAAGGCATTAGTTGTGGGAGAAGTCTGCACAGAGATGGTTCCCCCATCACTTGGATGAACATGTGGGTCATTAGCAGAGATGTGCCGCAGAAGTAAATCGTAAGTTGGGAAGGGGAATAAGAATGTTTGCCATGCGTGTGTGTGTCTGGGCATATATGTTCAAATCTTGACTCTCCCCCAGCTGGTTGTATGTGTACATGTTCACTTCCTCACCTCCTCAAAGTTAACCTGTGCGTCCAAATTTGCGCGCAGAATGGCAATTCATATGAGTTCCCTTTTCAACAAACACTTCTCCGTTAGGACAATCCGTGCTAAAATGCATTGCGTGGAAAGAAGTAACCCCATGCTACGATTTGACTATCCCCACTTGGAAGTTTTTTCTCAATCCACACCGCTTCGCTGGCCCCTCACACTGTTGCAGCCTCTCCCCTCTTGTGAATTACGGACAAAACGGGAGAGCGTTCCACTTTTGAAGGCGACCCCCCTCCAGGTACACTTTTGCAAGCGGCAAGAGGTCCCCTTCACTTCCTAGCATTCGTTCGTCAATTCCTCATTAGCGCCGTTCATCGGGTGTGTGTGGGGGAAACACATGTAGAGACGAACGTAACGGTTTTGGGAAATCTATCTACCCAGGAATGTGCTTACGTATTGTATTATACGTTCGCGTGAGCGATTGGCTGTATATGTATTATACTTATACCTGGTATGACATTCACTTCGATGTAGGGAGGAAAAGGTTCTTTACTCCGTTGTGATGATTTCTGTGTGGCGCCTGGAAGTGCCATTTATTGGTCGTTCCCATTGTGAAGTTACTTGACTCTTATCACCTCGCGTGGCATTGCGCGGGGGGAACTTCCTCGAAAAGAAACCTCTTAATTTTTCACTTTGGTTGGCTACCCGCAACCGCTGTAGGATGCCATTCCCCAAAAAATGGCACATATGCACGTGTCAGTACATTTCCACGCATGTACATAGTGCTGCAACGGTTCCGTGCGATCCGCACTTAATGGGAAAAAATCGACGCAGTTCTGAATCGGGAAAGTTGCGTGATGAACGGAGGGGACCTGGCCATCAACAAAAATGCCCCGTGACAAATTGATTTGCAATGGGAATTGGCACTTACAACATATTTATGTAACTCTTCTTTTTTTTTATTTTATTTTTTTCTTTTCCCAGTTGAGTTACTGCCACACGTAAAGTTTGCTGAGCTAAGCCGCTTCTTCTGTCGCGGTTTTGTCGCAGCTTTGGTCACATTTGTCCCATTTGTGTCCCAATTTTGTCCCAATCTTGTCGCCGCTTTGGCCCAAATTTGTCGCAACTTCGCAACAGCTTTGCTTCACTTTTTCCACTCCTCGCGTGCCCCATCCTTCCCAGCGGCCTGCCTCTTGGACTCATCCCAAAGTGCTAGCCCCACTTCGCGAAATTAAAAAAAAAATGCAATCCTTCTATAAGCTGCAACATAACCGAGTGAAGGCTCACTAGTCCGTTTTTTCCTCCTGTCCGTCCCGCCCTCTCGAGTACGATCACGACCGCGAGGGTGAACACACCACCTTCAAAGGAACGTTCATTTTGTATTGTATTGCATTGTATTGTTTTTTTCTTCTTTTTTTTTTTTTTTTTTCGTGTTTTCTTTCCCATTGTTGTGAGCAATAACTCAGAGAAGTGACAACTTCCTTTTGTGACGCAGCGTTAAGAGGGCCACGCCTACTGCTCAGAGTTTACTTGTTGGCGCGAAGGCACTCTCTCGAAGGAGAGGTTGAGAAACACCCGATTCATCCGATCCATTGGGCCATTGAACTGGTTCCTCCCTTGGTAAAGACCGCCGTGCAACTTCACGCGGGATAGCTGGCAGAGGACGCCCCGAGCCCCCAAAATGAATGCGTAGAAATGTCATCGTTCCACAACAAGAAGCTGGCTCTGAGTTCCCACAATGACAGACCCACGCCACTGAACTTAGGTAACGCTCGCGTGAGGGTCTGCGAGAGGGCTGACTGGTGGGGGCGCTCCTGGATAGGAAATCCCTCGAGTAGGAAATTCTCCTGCGTGGGGATGCTCACTCCACGGAGAGGAGGCACCACAGAGAGGCGGCGCCACTGAAAGACGCCACCACCGCAGCAGCGCTTTCCACAGAGAAACGTACGCACCTGTCCCCCATCAGGCACGAACAATGACAGCCACAGCGGGAAGCGGAAGCTGCTTCTATCCTTTCGGAGGTCGAGGAACGATACGTGCCCAGACTGCAAAGAGAAGGGAATAATCATATGTGACAACAGTGAAGGGACGCAGATATGTAACGGATGTGGCCTGGTGTTGGAGAGTCGCATTCTGTCGGAGGAACAAGAATGGAGAAATTTTCACAGCGATGGACAGATGAAATCAAATGATCGGAATAGAGTCGGAGAAGTCAGTGACATATGGTTCGAAAATAACTTAACGAGCACAACCTTTATCAAATCGAGCAAGAAACTGCAGCACCTGAATATGATGACACAGATCAATAAGAGTGACCAGACTTTGCTAGCCGCCTTCAACATACTGAAGTTGATATGTGAAACGTTCTTCCTGCGAAGCAATGTGATTGAGCGGGCGAAGGAGATAACGAAGGAGCTCCAGGTAGGGTGCACAATGGAGGGAAGGGCAGCGGAGAGGAAAAGAGAGAATAGGATGATGTATATAGAAGTAGGGATTCTGGGGGTGGGGGTGTGTACCCCCCCTTTGGTGCTTCCATACGAGTGGTCTCTTCACACATGCACACTTCTAACTTGGTCTCATGTCGTTCGTCTTGCCCCCCCTCACAGGATATGGAACAGCTGAAGAACCGAATCAACAACCTAAACATGCTGGCAGTGGTGTATCTGGCCTGTAGAGAAGCGGGACACATTAAGAGCATCAAGGAGCTCATCACCTTTGACAGATCCTTCAAAGAAAAGGATCTAGGAAAAACAATAAATAAGTTGAAGAAGATCCTGCCGTCAAGAGCCTTTGTGTACAATGAGAATATCTCGCACTTGATTTTTACCTTATCGAATCGGCTTCAGTTATCCATCGATGTGATTGAGTCAATTGAGTATGTGGTGAAGAAAGCCACGACCTTAATTACGACATCGCATCGGTTGAACTCTCTTTGTGGTGGGTCCATTCACCTTATTGTTGAGCTAAACACAACTGACGAGAAGAATTTGAAGCTCCCAAACATCGCGCAGATTGCTGCTGTGTGTGGAGTGACGACGAACACGCTGAAGACGACCTTTAAGGAGCTCCTCAGTGCGGCGGATTACATCTTGCCTTCGTACTACCTGGTGGGAGATAACTCCAAGCTGGCCACGCTTCGGGAGAAGTACCTGAGCGACGACCGGCGCAGGAAGAACAAGTGACTTTCGCAGGGGCGAAGCGGTGAGGCGGTAAAGGGGTGAGACGGTGAAGCGGTGAAGTGGCGAAGGAGTGAAACGGTGAAGCGGTGAAGTGGCGAAGGGGTGAAACGGTGAAGCGGTGAAGTGGCGAAGGGGTGAAGGGTTTTTTTTTCTTCTTTTTTTCTCTTTTTACAAAAATTCACAGTTTGAGGAGTCTCAACGATTTGCTTTAATTTAGCCGTTCGAATTAACGGGGGGGAAAATCAGAAAAAAAAAAATAAGATAAAATGAACAAAGTAAAGTCAACAAAATGACATCTCTACTGTACAGAAAAATTTGGGCGACGCTTTAAAGTACAAATGGGGTCAACGGTCAATTTGTCTGGCTTGGCCGGCTTGGGCCGCCTCGCCTGGACCGTCGAAAAATACAAACGGCGCAGTGGAGTGGGAAGCGCTATGTGGGGGGTACATATGACTTCATCTTCTTCCTCGTACATGTTGGAGGTATGCGCGGGGAGCGTGTCTTCCCATTTGACGGGAACCTCTCCAGTTGGGACGACCACGTGGAAGCCCCCGAGGCGATAGCCAAAGGGGGGTCATTTCACCAGTGTGCTGCTTCATCGATGTGGAGCTTCACCTCTGTAGAGCTTCATCCCTGTAGCACATCACCGCGGCAGCGCCTCACCGTTCTTGGCCCAGGAGAGTACCCATCCCTTGATGAGCTGCAGGTTGCTCTCGTACTGTTCCATGTCGTCGTTCCCTAGCTCATCAAAAATGGACGGGTCATTATAGTAAGTGAGGATATCCTCCTTTATGACCTGAAATATCTCGCACTCGATATTATTTTTTATCTTCTCCTTGGAGTAGTTCCTCTTTTCCAGTCTCTCGTACAACTTATTTGTCGAAGTCGTCAATAAAAAAATGTGATCAATGAGTTCCTTTTCCTCCAGGAAGTCTACATCGTGGAAGTCTATTATGTATCCTCCATTTTCTAATTTCAGTTTTTCTATTTTTTCGTTTACCATGTCGTTACTGTAGATGGTTGCATCTAACTGGTCATCAAATTCTTCGTAGAGTCTTTCCTCTTTGATAACTTTGGATAGGTTCAGATGCTTCATTTGGCAAGCTGCATCTAACTGTTGGTCCTGTTTCAATTCTTTGTTGATTATTTCGATTAGCTCCTCACACAGGGTCGTTTTTCCTACTCCGGGCACGCCCGTAACGATGATGTTCGGCAGGTTCCTCATCGGTGCGAGGCAGCCTCTGAAGTGGGTATCTGTAGAAGTGGTGATCTGCCCCGGGGTACCACGATCTACCTTGGGGATGACCTCTCTGGCGTTCGCCCTGCCGCCGCCCTGTCAATTCCTGTCGAGGGAGCTACGTCGTTAATCGTTGTCGATGGAGCTACTTAAATTTCGCCGCGTTCGATGTTGAAAAACGGATTGAGAGGAAAACGTTGAACCATGCAAGAGGTCGACGCGGAA